GTGAATACGTGAAATGGCTTGGTAACCTCTGATAACCTCTCTTAACCCCATTTTTCTCAATTAATAAAATAAATATTTATAATAAATATCAAAATACCTTCACGTCCCTCATTCCTTTCTCAAAAATGATAATAATAGTAATAATAATAATAATATTAAACATACCTTATACCTTTTATAAGATAACTTAAACATAATTATTAATAATAAAATATATTTCATAAAAATAACTCTAGCTTCACTAATTAAACAAAATATAATTACAAATCGTGTCACATAATTAAAATAGAGCTCATATAACTAAATAATATCAAAGACACTAAAAGAAATACATTAAATGTGAAAATAATTACTAAAATACTATTTATTATAAGATATGAAATTCAAGGTGTTACAGGATGGCCTAAACTCAACACCACAATTGTGGTTGGGAATTGCAGTGATGGAAAAAGTTGTGTTGGCTGAGAGTTGGTGTTGGAGTGTTGAATAAGCACTGTAACGATGTGAGTAAATGATCGAATTCGGTCTTGAGTTTTTCATGAAAATTGTAGAAAATCTTCTTGTCTTTCATATGAGATAAGGATGAGTATTATAGGAGTAGTAGAACTCCCTATGGGTTGTTTTATGCGAAGGTTGTCAGTTAGGATAAGTGATTTTGATAAGTTGCATGTTGATACATGTTGATGATGGGTGAATTTGGTGAACATGAATAGAATACTTGTGTCTATTACATGTATGATATGGGATGATGATAATAAGCATTGGAATGCTATCTTTGTGTAGTTGAATTAATGTTGATGAACATTGATATGCTATGTATGATTGGTGTGCTATTATTGAATGAATAATGGAGCATTGATATGCTATTATTGTATGAATTGTTAAACATTGGTATGTTATTTTTGGTTGAGGTGTTAAGCATTGGTATATTATATATGATTGATATTATTGATCTCTATATGCATTCACTAGATGTGATGTATATAGTAAATGTATTGTGAGGTGTGGATGCTGAGAATGCGATTTGACATTAAAGTATGATGGCTAACTTAGGACTTGAGGAGAGGAAATTATTTTGAAAACTGAAGATTCCACATAAGGTATCTTGGAGTGGTGCTCGGGTTGGCCACATTGTTTGGAAAACCCTCCTTGAATAGGTGTGTATCTTGGAGTAGGTTTTAAGGTGTTTGAGTCTCCTCCAAGTCCTTAGTTAGTGATTGAGTAAGATAGGAGGTTGAGGGTTACAACCCTGAACCAAGTACTTGCAAATGTTTCATGATTCCTTAAGGATAATCAGTGAGCAAATTCGATTTGTGACTTGGTAATGCATGCCTAGGTCATGGTAAACCTATACCTGACTATACTACTCCTGACGATGGAACCGAACTTTCCTAGTGTAAATGATGAGACCCGAGAAACTAGAGGAGGAATTGATATCCCATTATGCTATGATCAAGCCAGCACTTCGGGCATGAAAACAATTGAATTGGTTCGGAAGGGTGAAAATCACTTAGATTGCTTATCCGTAAGTGAATGCGTGATGACGCATTGGTTTATGTGTTTGCATATGATATATGTTGAGGTGTGTTCATATGCATTGTTGATGTTTTGTGGGACATGATTGAATGAGGTACATGTTTACTTTGGATGTGTTAGCTTTCATGTATGATATATGACGTGTTGTTGTATATTATAGACTTATTTTCTATATGTACATGTTTTCAAACTCTAACTTACCCTTTTTGCTTCCATGGCAATTTGGACTGCTATGATCAAATGTTGTATAAGAGTAGACCAGGGTTAGGTTTGAGGAGCTGATACGGGCAGATAATGTGACCCTTTTAACGACGGTACTATTGATGTACCTTGTATAGGTGTGCTTGATCGACATTAGGACGTAACATTATTTGGGATTACTAGTAGTAGTGGTTCCACAAAGTATGACTACCATGATGAATCGTTACATAAATTATATTTTAAATTTTAGATAAATAATTTATATTACAATATAAATTATTTTTAATTATTGATAACTTATTTTATAATATTAAATTTAATTTATCAATAAATATGACAAGTAAAAAAATTAAATTAGATAAAAAATTATCAAAAATTTTAAAAGTACTTTCATGAAAAAAATTTCTAAACAAGTCTTTTTTTATATTATTTATAAAATAAACGTTCACAGGAATTAATTTTCAATTAAATATTAAAAAATATTTTTAAACAAAAACCTAGTGAGATAGCATATAATCTTGTGTCAAACAATTCATAAAATACTAAACAAAATCACAAAATTAATTATTCAATACATAATTAGTTATTTATATAGTTATAAACTTTTTTTTCTCATAAAAATATAAATAGAAAATGATTTAATTGTTCACTTTTCTAACTTATCTAAAATTTATAAAAAATTTCCAATAAGTTATAGAAAGATATTTTATGAACAAAAATCCACATAAATATTCAGCATAGAAATGATTTTATATATTATATATGGATAAGAATAAATTAGTTCAAATTTTAAATATATGAACTGAATTTATTCTATAAAATTAAATTTTATACTTGACTTATTATATAATATGTTTTTTTTATTATAAATTTGACATGTATACATGATCTTTTTAAAAGTCTAACATGAAACTTGTGATCTTGTTAAGAATTCATTTGATCTTTATAGAATTCTTGAGATTTTTTCTTACGAAATTTTGTTATAACATCTATGATGATTTATTAATTTATTTAAAAATTATTTTATATTCACAACACAAAATAAATTAATAAAGTTAATTTTAAATTAATTAATAAAGTTAAAACATACATCTTAGAACATAAAGTGCATTTAAAATCGTTGATTGTAGAATCAATAATTGAGATTTGTGATAAAATTAATTTTTTATAAAATAAAATTTAAAATTAATTATAATATTAATAGTTAATTTTTTAATTAATATTTATTATTTACTTTATTTTTTTAAAGTACTTTTTTTTTTTTTACTTTAGAGGAACTAGATCCTAATTTTAAATGTCTGAGTTTTTTTTTTTTTTTAAATTACATGATATAAAACTCCATTAGTATTAAAATTTAAATTAAAAACAATAAAAAACTAACATAAAAATAATAATTTATATATACTTGTGTGTATTAACATACACTCATACATGGATTGTGATGAAATAAGATAACTTTATATATAGAAAAATTTCTATATATTTTCTATATCTCATTTGCAGCATTATAAATAATCAATCATGAACATTGAGGAAAAAGGCAGGTGAAGATATATTGCTAAAATTTTTATTTTTGATTTTTTAAAATACAAATAAAAAATATAAAATGTATTGATAATTTAATTTTTTATTAAAAAATTATTTATTTAATTATATTCTTAATAATGTAATATATATATATATCCTCTTTTATTAAAAAAAATAATTCAACAATTTTTTAATAATATTTATATTATGAACTTAATAAATTTATTAATAAATTTTGTTTTATTAAATAAAATCAAGTTAGACTATGGGTTTGTGGATTAGCCTATAAGTTTAAACTCTAGTATCGAATCCACAATCTTATTAATAAAATAGAGGAGGAAGGGTTATATCATACATCTTAGTTATTTTAAAACCTTAAGAATACCTACAAACCTAACACCTCATTTTTTTTATAAAATATAATATAAATATTTAATAAATATTTTTGATATTTTTATTTTAACTAATAGAGTTGTGTTAATAATTATTTTAATTATTTGACATGTTTTGAAATATTGTATAATGTGTTTTAATTAAATATTTCAATTAAATGTTTTATTTTAATTAAATAAAAGGGAAGGGATTTGTAACTAAGGTTAATAAGTTTTAACTCAAGGATTAAAGAGAGGTTAAGTTTTAAAAGAATAGTTTTCTCTTAATCAATTTATGGTTCTTTCATTTTTACGTACACGTTTCATTTTTACATAATCGTTCTTTTACACTTCAAAGCTCAGAGAATAAGAGAAAGAAGGAAACAACCTTGGGACTGTGCATCTACCTTCTTCTACTCTTCGAGGTAAGGACGTGTGAAACCTCGCTTTGGATATGGGATTGTATGCATATGTGTTGAGGGATTTTCTCCAAATGTGTCTATTTTACCTCTTGTCCTTCTTACTCTTGTCCTTCTTACACATTTCTAATGACATGAATTGTTTGAATGTATGATCAATTGTTTGTTTTTGGATTGTAATTGTATGATTTGAAATTCCTATGGATTTCTATGAGAAACTCTAATGAAACTTGTTGTGATAGTTTGTAAAGATATTGATTGATATGTGTAAATTGAGTGATTTGGAATGTTAATTGAATGTTATAGAGCACTTTTACCAATTATATATGAGTTTATGCATGGAATTAGATGCGGGGAACATGTAGTCGTTGAGGAGATGTGATTTCCAAGGAGGAAGATTGTGTTCTTGCTCAGCAAGATGTGTTGGTCCCTCAATATGTAACACCTCTTTTTTCATAAAATATAATAAAGTATTTTGTGAATAATTTTGATATTTTTATTTTATTAACAGGGGTTGTTAAATATTCATTTTAATAATGTAATATATATATATATATAATATTTTTATTATTATATTATATAAATTAATAGATGATACATTTTATAAATTTAAGTCTAATCCTTTTAAAAAAGTAAATTTTTCTAAAGCCTAATTATTTAATAAGCCAGATTAGATTATAAATAATTAAAACATAAATTCCTATTTAAGATATATTCCATATTCATCTTATTTCCGTCTTATATGTTAACTAATCAAAATTTCTATTAAACAAAATCACAAAACTAATTATTTAATACACATTAACACAACTCAGCTATTTAGCCAGTCATCAAGTTTTATTTTATTTTATTAAAAATACAAATAAGAAAATACGAACCTTCGTGGAAGTTGCACCGTTTGAAGAGTGCTGACACACCTCGTTTCCCATCCATTATTTATAATACTTGCGGCTAGTCACACAAATACAGTGTGCTACATTGTGATATTTTACTTCGGCTTTGTCATTTCTTTCAACAATTTGTTAGGTATTGAAAAATGGGTTCTCGAAACCAAGAGGTATCATGGGTGGAGAATGGTGGAAACGTGAAGGGATTGAGCAGGGAGAATAGACATGGAAGAACCGCACATAACATGTCTTCTTCTTCATTGCGCAAGAAATCTGACCTCACTCTTGTGTCTAAGGTTCGCTATGATCTTCTTAGGAACTTGTTGGCTAACTTGCAAGAGGTTATTCTTGGAACCAAGCTTGCTATTCTTTTCCCTGCTATTCCCCTTGCAATAGTTGCTCAATGGTTTGACTTTGGAAGAGTGAGTTTTCTCCTGTTAATTCTCTTCTTCATAGTTGTACTTGGTTTGAAAAATTTAATGTATGACCTAGAATTATGATTGTGTCTATGGTTTGATTTGTTAATGTTTAATGAGTTTGTATTAATATTTCAAATTGAAACTAATTCAACTATATATCATTAATAATTCTATATTTTTAAATTATGTAAGAAAAATAAGAAAGTGAAGGGTTTAAAATTAATTCTATCAAGAAATAGAGTTAAAGATTTTTTTAAAAGTATTTTTTTTTATTTCAATCAAATACATCCTTATTTGTATTTTTTCTTCTTTATTTTCTGTTTTTGCGATCTTGAATGCCAAGAAATCTTACACTAATATTTTGTAAGATACAATGAATAATGTTGTATAAATTATTGATCATCTTTATTCCCTTTTTAATGAATAATTTTGTAAGAAATCTGTGTCATTGTCTTTTCTTACATTTATTTATTTATTTCTATTTTTTTTAGTGTCTCACACAACCTTGAAATGGATTTCTTTCAAAGAAGAATGTATGGAGAAAAAAAAATTAACTTTTTACTTAAATTTTGTGCAAAAATAATTGATGTATGGATTCTTTTTTTAGTCAACTATTTTTTTTTTTTTAATTCTAGAGTGGAACCTAGGAAAGGATGAAAGTGACGGCTCTCCTTACACTTTTAAAATACTGATATATAATATTATTAGCAGAGTTAAAAAAAAAAAACACTAATGCTTTACCTACTCATTCAGAAGTGAGGATACGCATGTACTTGATTATTGCATGTACTTGATTATTGCATGTACTTGATTATTGGTTCGACCTATGCATAGTAGTCTTTAATTCTCAAGTTAGAGTTTCAAATATGATAAAAAAAATGATTTTGGAAGAGTCAACCTCAATGCAGTTAAAAAATGTTCTGAAAGAGACTATTTTTTATGAAGTAAATAGATAATCTTACTACTATCATGATAAAAAAAATTAGAGTTGCATATATTTTATTTATTAAAATTTATTTCATTACAATCATAATCAGTCCCGTAATCATAGATGGTGACTGGTGTGGTGTACGTGAGATATTTTTGGTTACAGAAAAAAAAAGGAAATTCATATTGTGATAATAAATATTAAAAAGTGCATAAATATTTTTCTAGAAAACTGTAATATTTATTGGTTGAATTTTCTTGTTAATGTTGTATTATTATGGGATTATGTAACCAGTCTCAATCTTTTGTTGCTTACAGCCATGGGTTTTTGCCTTCAGTTTACTTGGTCTTACTCCACTTGCCGAACGTGTCAGTTTCTTGACAGAGTGAGCAAATCATAACATGCTTGCATTTTTGTTCATATTAGATCGTACATTAGCCATTATTAATCATCGTACAACTTTTTTCTTTTCTCTTTAATTACCCTTTTATATTTGTATACTGATTCTCGTTTTATTTGCTCCCTTGATATTTGGTACTTCAAAATTGGAAGACAACTTACTTATTACACTGGTCCCACAGGTGTGTATCAATTCACAAATGTACTTCAGCAATTGTTTTTGAAAGAGTTATGATACATGCATATAGCATAGTACATATATACTCGATTGGTATTTATTTTTCGTATTATCTCAATTACATTTATGATTGTATATTTTCTATATGTGTCTAACAGTATATAATTATAAGTTGCACATCAGTTTCCTTTTGGAATTCTTCACAATGTCAGTGTACTTTACGGTGAATTTTCTTTAATTTGGACTAAATTTTTGCATATAGTAATGATAACTGAATGCACACTTATTGCATACATTTTCAATTGATTCTCTTCATTTTTGTTTAGCAACATTGGTTTTGGTCTTAACACAAAGTATTCAATTAAAGGAAGAATGATGTAATATTAATTGGTCAATCATAGTGTTAGAAATAGAAAAAGTTTTTAGAAATTGTAGCAGTACAATACTACAACTGATTTTCATGATACTAAAGCCTTTTATTTTGTTGAATCAAAGTGGGAGGAATTTTGAATGCAACATGTGGAAATGTGACAGAGCTCATCATAGCAATTTTTGCCCTTAGCAATAACAAAATTGTTTTGGTCAAGTATTCCCTCTTGGGTTCCATAATTTCCAATCTTCTTCTTGTTCTTGGAACATCTCTATTATGTGGCGGCCTTGCAAACCTTAGACAGGAACAAAAATATGACAGAGTAAGGCCCTTCAATTCATTCAAAACTTTTACCTATGAACTGCTTAGTTTTGGTTTTTTTCTCGTGTTATAGTAGAAATAGTGGCTAGTGTTAAGGGTTTGACTCTTGAATGTTTTGCAGAGACAAGCAGATATGAACTTGCTGATGCTCTTTCTGGCATTGCTGTGCTACTTGCTGACACTGTTGTTCCATTATAGTGGTGCCTCAGCAAGTGACAGTACTGACTCATCTCTGCAGTTGTCAAGAGCTGCTAGCATTGTTATGGTGATTGCATATTGTGCTTACCTTGTCTTCCAACTCTGGACTCACCGGCAGCTATTTGAAGCCGAAGAAGTATGTTTTTATTTTATTTTATTTTTTATTTATAAACTATATTGTTAGTATGAAGTATGACTTCTTTAATTATAAGATGATGAATCTAATTGTGATTCTGATTTGTGTCAATATTTGATTGATAATCACCATCATGCATTTGCAGGAAGATGATGAAGAGGGTGGCAATGATTCAGAAGAAGCAGTGATAGGATTCTGGAGTGGGTTTGTTTGGCTGGCTGGAATGACTGTGATCATTGCTGTACTGTCTGAATATGTGGTGCAAACAATTGAGGTAATTTACTTCATTTTGTTTTTGGAGAGATGAAAATATTGTGTAAACATTTTCATACCATCAATTAATCATAAATCATTTTAAGTACAACTTTCAAAGTAGTAGTTATAAAAATCAACAAACTTGTCATTGATTGGATGAGTGTAAAAATATTTATACTTTGGGCACATTTTAATGAAATTCTCAATATGTAATAATAATGCTGATAGTAATGAGAAAAAAAATGTTATCTGAACAGGATGCATCTGATTCATGGGGCTTGTCTGTTAGCTTCCTCAGCATAATCTTGCTACCAATAGTTGGAAATGCAGCTGAACATGCAGGAGCAGTCATTTTTGCTTTCAAGAACAAACTGGTACTTCTTTTTTGTTTAACAAAAGTTGCTTGAAACTATTGTTGAAATCGCTTGCACGAGTTCTTGTGTTCTTTGCTGAGGTGTTATTTTTAAATTGGAGAAACAAAGAAGAGGACATGTGATTTAATTCCTTGAGACTAAGCTAATGTTGTTATTGCAGGACATTTCGTTGGGTGTTTCCTTGGGTTCTTCAACTCAAATTAGCATGTTTGTGGTAAGCAAACATTCACCTTAAAAACAAAAATGCTTCCATTTATCTTTGTTATTGGATTAATAAAATTATTCATTTATCAAATTTGATTACAATATAGGTTCCACTATGTGTGATTGTTGCTTGGATTATGGGTATCAAAATGGATCTCAACTTCAACCTCCTAGAGACAGGTTCTCTTGCTTTGGCAATAATAACCACAGCCTTCACATTACAGGTATAATTATATACCATCATTTCAGTTGGATGAAAACATCACACTTATATATTTGGTATATATCTTGATTCATTGTTCCTTCCATGTATCTTTTTGTAGGATGGAACTTCTCACTACATGAAAGGCCTTGTTCTCTTACTCTGCTACATTATAATTGGTGCATGCTTTTTCGTCCAAAGAACACCCTCCAGTAAGCATAATAATATGTAACACTGTCTTGGTGTCACAAAAATATTCATACATCCTGAAGTTATACTTCATATTCTAAAATTTGGTCACTCCTTTTTCCAGACCAACTTAATGTTCCTAATATAGTGCTTAATTCAGCAACTGAAGCAGTTTTTGGAGCTTGATCAAGTAAGTTCATGTTCTCCATACACATGCAGACATTAATTCAAGAACTTTATGGAATTAACTACGGGAACTTGATTGCAGGCATATTGACCGATTTTGGTCTCTGAGATGAAAGAGTGCAGCATCCAAACTGAGAAAAAGATTCAATGGATTTGTTATTTGTTGATTTTAATTATTGTCATCCCCTGAGAAAGCTGAAGAAGTTTGCATGCAGTAGCTTGCAATCGATTTGGTTGTCTGTGTATATAGTTCTCTTCACAGGATTTTGTCTCAAGATTTTCATTTCATAATGTAATATAGATGAGAGTTCTGGCATGGCTTTAAAATAAAATGAGAACAGTTCCTTTTGAGGTCACATGAGCAAGAGTTTCTACCTTGTATTACCCTTCTCTCTCTTTTTTATTTTTCTTTCTTTGTTATAAGCAAAAGATTAATATTCATTCTTTTGTTTGCCTAGAGTTTGTTTGCATTTAAATTAGAAATATTCTTTTTGGAGTTTTTCTATTAAAATTATAGAGTATTTTTTGGTAGAAAAATTTTGAAAACAATTTTTATTTGTGAAGTGAGTTTTATTGGTGATAACAATTACGTGAATGCTTATACAATACGGAACTTATCATATGAACGTAACAATAACTATAATGCCGAGGCATTACACATTATAGGACTGAAAAACAAAAATAGGAAAAGCTAATGAAATCTTTAACCGTCAAAGTTAGCTGTGTTTTGAAACTGTTTCAAAAGCGCTTTAACATATTCCATGAATGAATAAGAAAATCCCATATTGTCCATTTTAAACTTATAATTTTATTTTTGATTGTTACACATTTTTTTTATTTTTATCAATGAAGGTATTTGTGTGTTTATAAGTTTTTCTTTTTATGATTTAACGATGTGAAATTGTTTATACTACATTAATCATGTAACATCCTAGAATTTTTTTTAAAAAATTAGTAATTGTTAAATAGGAGATGATGATGATTTTATTTTATTTTATTTTGTGATTAATAGTTTGTATTTTATTCATTTTAATAAGATTTAATTATTCAAGGGGTATTAGAAATAATGAAAATAAGAGAAGATCGGATAAATAAGAGATATATATTAGGAGAGAAGGAAGAAAAGAGATTTTATTATTATTCATTTCTTCATTTCGTGTTCTCTAACGTCATGTGCACTAAAGAGAATGCATAACAAGGAGGAGGAATCATCGGAGAGGAACCAGAACTGTAGATATGATATTTTGCATCTCTCTAGGTAAAGGGGAGTGAGAACACTCATTTCTGAGGATTGGATATATGCATGAAGGGTAGAGAGATTGACCCCCAATCTCATAAGTTTTATGTTTGATGATATGATGTGTGCGTTTGATGTGTTTGGGTGAGTAGATTTTGAATATGTAATTTATTTGATGATTAGATGTCTTTAGGATAATTAATTGAGTGCTCTGTATAAAAGGGTTAGAACCCTAAGGAGGGAAGTTTGATGAATTAAGGGATAAAAGTTGTAGATGCTAAATTCGTGAATTTCCTAGATGTAAAATGAATTTTTGGTTGAGTATAAATTGGATTAATGATTTGGGTGAAGTTCGCTTCAAAATCTTGTTTTGCATTGATGTGTTTAGGTGTTGGAACACATGTGGTGTCGAGCTCAAATGCTTGACGTCAAGCCTGTCTTCATGTGTATGAAGGCATTGCCCAGGCGTTCTGGTGTCTGGTGTGGAAATGTCCACGTCGAGCATGAGACATTGTTGTGCTCTCCGTTGTGGCTGAACGTTGAGTGTGAGGTGTGATGCTGGGCGCGAAAAGATTATGGTGCTCTCTATTGTGGCTTAACAATGGGTGTGAGGTGTGACATCGGACACGAGAGGTTTTGATTGCTCTCTATGGTGGCTTAAAGCCGAGCGCAACCTAGGGAAGCTAAGCTTGAGAAAGAGTAGGTGCTCTCTATTGTAACTTAAAGTCGGACGTGGATTGTCAGGAGGTTTATTATGATGTTTTAAATGATGTTTTTATGATTGTTTATAGGTTAAAACCCTTATTTGGTCCCTTGTAATATTTTTTTGTTTTAATTTAGTCCCACTTTAATTTTTAGTTTCAATTTGGTCCTCAATAATTTAAATTATTGCAATTTGGGACTTCCGTCCAAATGATTTAAACGGAGTTAAATATTGGCCATGTGGATGCCAGGTGGATGCCACATAGATGCATAGGTGGAATCCAAATTTCATGAATACACCTGGAATCAGAACGGTCCGTTCTAGTTGCACATGTTATGTGTTAATTTTACAACTGGAATGGGTCATTCCAAATGCAAATTTAACACACCATGAGTGCATCAGAACGGGCCGTTCTGTATTCAGAACGACCCGTTCCAGAACGCCAACTTCATGCATACGTTGACCAATGTCGCAATGTGATTCAAAAATTAAAAATAAAAATTTATAATATATCATAAATTCAAAGACAGAAACATGGTTCAGAAACTGAAAACAAAAATTCAGAACATAACATATACTAAAAAAGTTCAAAGAAATTACTAAGAAAGGACATCATCTGGGTAACGCTAAAGGAAAACCCTAAACCACAAAAATTCAGGTTGTACCTCCTCAAGAACAGGTTGTTATTGTTGGGGTACATCGTCAACGACTTTAAGGGAAAACATCATTTCGTTTCATCCTTGACTGTATAGTGTCAATTTGGTAGTAAGTGATTCACTCCAATTTGACTAACAATGAAATAAAACCTGCTACCATTGTCCTTAGTGATACACTGCATCGTCCTTAATGATACATTGTAGGGCCCAAATGTTTAGCAATTGAAGTTATCAATCCTCATTGACAATATTACCAAATCTAGTGTTTGAAATGCTTTGTAGCTTGGGTATTTTTCCTTGCACGATTCACAAACGTGTACTGTAGTCATCGACAATTCTGGAACCAGAACGGCCCGTTCTAAAACCAGAACGGCCCGTTCTAGATACACTATTGGTGAGTTAATTTTGCATCTAGAATGGCTCGTTCCAGATACAAAATTAACACACCAAGAGTGCAACCAGAACGAGCCGCTCTGGTTCTAGGTGTATTAATGAAATTTGGCATCCACCTACGCATCTACGTGACATCCACGTGGCCAACAGTTAACTCCGTTTAAATTATTTGGACGGAAGTCCCAAATTGCAATAATTTAAATTATTGGGGACCAAATTGAAACCAAAAATTAAAGTGGGACTAAATTAAAACAAAAAAATATTATAAGGGACCAAATAAGGGTTTTAACCTTGTTTATATGATGATGAATGTGTGTGTGTGTGTGTATATATATATATAT